ATATATATATATATATATAAAACTGTTTATCATGCATAATTCAAATTGCAAAAGTAACAACTTTAGCACATATTTGTACTTTTTTTCTTATTTTCTCTAAAATTATTGCAATTTTCGGAAAATATTACAAGAAAGTATCAAAGAGAGATGCGATGCTGCTCAGTGTTCAGTCAATTAAGTGGAACAAAACAAGGCGACTGAAGACTTGGAATCGAAAGGGCACGAATTCGCCACAACTTCTCCCTGATTTAATGAAGCGCGCTTTAGTTTGGCGCAAGATAATTGGCGACCACGAGATCGAATTCGTCAGTGAATAAACCTCTGGTGGACAACCGAATCGGGTTTACGCGATCGGAATGCGGTAAAGTGTTTTGACAGATAAATGGAGGACTTACTATAAAATCGATCTCGTTGTTGAAGCCTCCCCTCGATATCACTGAAGGCGAAACGGGCGTCATCGGCGAGGAGCCACCAGGACGGACTATTATCCTTGCGCTCACCGGCAGAGAGTTTAGTCTGGCTAGTTCTTGTCGTCTCCACTGATCGGTCTCCTTCTGTCTGTGCTCTCTCATTCTACAGTAGATGGAAATATAGAATCGTATTTATCGGATGATTTGAATGAATAAACTCTTGCCTTGATGATACGCTTGGAATATTTCTATAATTAAAGTCGCAGCGTTCACAGCCTTTAATATATCGCTATTGTTGATATTTAAAATTTCACGCGACTGGAAAAATATCTCAGGTAAGCGAAATTTATTGCATTAAACTATAAGAAAATCTATATTAAATTAGCAGAATTAAATCAGCAAAATCGAATTGGACCTTGGAATATTTAGTACTCTTTTGCAAGAAAGGCGATAATATCTTTCAATTGATGAAGTAATTAGTATTAAATATTAATATAAATATAAAGTAAAATAAAAATAAAAAAGGAACATGTCATTTCACAGGGATTATCATTTATATTTTTTATTATTTTATATTCTCATTGTATGAAATATACTTTACGCGATTTCAATTTTATCGCAATAATACCTGCACTTGGAAATAATATTAGTTCCCAGCGATAACGGGAATACCAATAAAACAAAAAGAAAATGAACAGAGACAAATGATAGCAGTAACGAACATTGAAAGCTGCGAAGCGCATCAGCTCGAATAAAGTTCACTGGCATCGCGCCAAGTGAAAACTTCATTTTTGCAAAGCACGTGCCCTAAGGACCACTTGCATACCTGCTCTCTTCCTGTTGTCGTCTCTCGGCTTCCAATCTTTGCCTTTCGCGCTCTGCCGCCGCTCGCCTGGCTTCTTCGGCTCGCATCAAATTACTCGGAATGGGCCGGCTGTCCTGTCGTCTTCTGTGCTCTGCCAAAAGATGAGGATTCTGGTGATAGATCAGCCTAGTTTCTAATTGTTTCGTCCTACCAATTTCGTTCTTGGATCGTTGTTTGAATATCTCCTGCCTCCTTCTCTCGGCCTGTATCCTCGCTACCTCTAGCTGCTGCCTGTTCTCCTCGTACCTTCTAGATTGCTCTCTCCTCGCTTCCTCTTCTCGCCTAGCTGCCTCCTCTCGCATCCGTTGCTGCCGTAACCGTCTCTCTTCTTCCTCCTCCCACTGTCGTCTGGCGAGTTCCTTCCGTCGCTCTTTCGCCTCGTATCTCTGCCGCCTTTCCTCCTCCAACCTTCTCGCCATCTCTTGCTGCCTCCGTCTAACTTCCTCTGGTGAGCTTCGCGGATCGATGTACGTAGGCGCCGACGGTCCGTGGTCTCTCCTCACTCCTGGATCGGGATATCTGTCGCGACGCCTGGCTTCCTCGATCAGTCTTCGCTCCTCGAACCAGTTACGACCAGTTGTGGTCGATTGATTATCTCTCGATGGCACATTCACTGGTTGGTTCCTCCTAATATAATCCTGTAGTTTTCTCTCTTCTTCTTGTCTTTTACGCTGCTCTTTCAGTCGTCGATAGTACTCTTCGTCATTTCTACTCATATTCATCCGCGGATCTTGGTGCTCTTCGAGCCTATAGTGTCGTTTCTCTTCTTTCGATCTTTGATCGGCATGATTGACATTGATAGGTCGATTTCGTGTGATATATTCTCGCAATTTCTGTTCTCGCTGTCTTTCTTCTTGCTGTCGTCTTTTCTCATCTCGATCGCGCTGTCTGATATCGTTCGGATGACTGACTGAATGTTCTGCACGCATTAAATTCAATGGTTGCTGTCGTCTTCTCTCATCTTCATCCTCTTGCCTCTTCTTCTCTAACCATTCTTTGCGACGGTTTTCTGATATTCTTCTAACATTTTCGGAAGGATTTCTCATTGAATCTTGACGCCTTCTTGCCTCTTCATCCCTTTTTCTTTGAGCTTCTTGCTGCCATCTGTATTGCTCCTGCTTCCTTGCTTGTTCTTCTTCCTCTCGTCTTCTTAGCTCTTCCTCGTTTCTTCTGACCGTCTCCTGCATTTCTTGCCTTCGTCTTTCTTCCATCTGCCGTCGCATATCTTCGTTATCTATATGTGTTGTAACGTTCATCATCTTATAATATTCTTCGTATTGTCTTCTTCGTAACTCATCTCTTTTCTTTTTCTCTTCCTCCTCCTGTCTATTTGGCAGTTTTTGATTAGCCTGTTGCATTTGTCGCAAATACTCTTCTTCTCTTCGTTTTTGCTCAAGGATTTTCTCGTACTTTTGTCTAACATTATCGATGTCAGTATTTAATCCATGATGCTCACGTCTTTTAACAGATGTGTCTTGATGGTATCGCATCTCGTGCTGCCTGCGACGTTCATTCACGGTCTGCAACTCATCGCTAGACACGGCACCTTCATCCTCACCGAAGCCCCAATCGATCGATCGTCTCGTGCGCTTCCGTTCGCTTCTACCGTCCGCAAATCCCTCAATATTTGCTTCGGCAAGCCACAGCAACTGCCGACCATGATTCCTGCTGGCGCCATTATCACCGTCCAATAAAATCATTTCTCGCTTTGGTTTAGCTTCCGTGTAATTCTTAATTTCGAGATCCGTTAGAGATCGCTTGGTCTTCTGATTAGTTATTAATTCACTAGAATTTATTGGGATGGATCCACCCAAATCTCCTCGTTCTGGTAACTTCTCTGGTCGCCTAAACTCATCCAAATGGTCAGAATTAAGATGGCTGGCATCCATATCTCCCCTATTTGGCTTGTTTCTTTTCGTGGTAGTCTCCAGTTTTTTGAGTTTGAGAAGCTCGTCCATTTCCTCATATTCTTCTTCATCGTATGACAGAACGTCGTCGAGATCCAAGGATACCGGCGACACATTTAGCAATACGGATGGAGCTGGCACCTCGCCCTTCTCCTTGTCAGGCGTATCTATCGATCTTTTCGTCTTGTGGGACAACAACGACGCTTCGAGACCTTCGCATCCAACCTGTAGCTCCGGCACACCACCAACATCGAAGGCATCTTTGTTGATCAAAGGAGTTTCGGTTCGTTGTTCTTCGAAAAAATTTGATTGTTTACGATTAACATTCGCACTTATTATTGATTTAATTTCTGTCTTTGTCTTTGAATTCAAATGACCCGTCTTTTTCGGAGCTTTGCTCTTATTTCTCGACAGTAAATTTGTGGAGGGCGTGGTTGCGATCAGTAGAGTCTTCTCTTTGGATAGGTCTAGTTTGTATATTTCCATCGATCCTGGCCCTTGATCCTGAAACGTGTCGTCTGCCACAAAGGGGTCGTCTAAAAGGTCTGAAGGGGATACCTTCGCTTCGCGCGAAAGCGTTTCCGGCATCTCGTAGCCGTAATCGATTTTGTCGGCCGCGAATTCCGCGCCGGCGATATTCGGTAATCGCCTCTGCCAGCCTGAAAAGGGGTACATTCGCTTTGACGAGACAATGTCCTTCAAGAAACCTTCAAAATCTCGCTCGGTATATTTGACATTGCGAGATAGAGCTCCTGATTCTGAAAAATGTAATTAGACTTTTTTTAATGTCTAAAAAATATCTAAAAAATTAGATATATTTAGAAAATTAATTTTAATTATTTTTGCACACATTAATAGCTGAAAATACCGGTTTAATTTAGAAATTTGATCTACAGGGGAGATTCTCTTTAAAAGATTTAATAACAATTTCATACTTGGCTAATATAGTTGCATACTCACTGACGTGAGTAATGCTCGACGCCAATTTATTTCTTCGAAATTCTTGCGTGCTATTATAATATAAAGATTTATATGTGTATATATTACTCGAAAAATATATATCATCTATTATTCTCCTAAATAATAGCTTTCGTCCTAAAATTTTTTCTTCTACATTAATTTCTAAAATTTCTTAAAAAAAATTAATAACTTTTATGTATGATATTTTTGCATAGATATATCTTTTGAGTTTATTTCATTTATTTTATTAGTAAAATATTCTATTTGCTTTTTTAAATATTTTTTTAATTTGAAAATTAATAAAGAACGCAATACTGTCATGTAATTATTATTATATTGACAACATAATGTATTAACACAAATCTTTAGATTTTTTTTTATATTTCGAATATTAATATCTTCTTATCAACTTAACACGAGAAATGAAAATAATTATATTTGAGATTGAACGCATGTTGAAAATTTTCGAACTTTTAACAATCATGAACAGTATTTATTTGATATTGGAGTTGCATAAAGAAGATGAGTAAGGAAACCTTGATTCATCAGAAAGTCGGGACAAACGGATTTCCACCAGTTAGGCCGATTCGTCACGAAGCGTTTGTTCCAGCTTCATTAGACAGCACGACAGAATTAAATCGTAAATTGAGTTAAATACTAAAATAGAGCAATATATATTTCTATATATACATTTCTATATATACATTTCTATATATTTGCTCTCTTTGTTTCCTGAGAATATTAAATAGAGATATTAAAAGTATTTTATAAAATAAAATTTAAATTTAAAATCATAATGTTCCTTACATCTTTTCTACATATTTCTTTCTATGTAGAGGGAGAGAAAGAAATCAGAAAGATTTATATTAGGTTTTTCCTGGTTATATTCTCAAAATGACAATCTTGTATAGACATTAGCTCTTGAGTTGACAGCGAAATACAATATGATGCTTTATTTTGCTCAGCTTGACATAACACTGTAAAATCTGACATACCCTCCGCAGAGATCGACCTTCGTGAACCGATCCAAAGGTCGAGAGGTTGATCCTCAACTGGATCGTGATCCCTCCAGACTCCAGCACGGTCCCGTTGAACCCTAGCGTGTCGGCGTGGAGATACGGGGGAGTATTGATCGTGAGAGAGACGGAGGGTGACTGCTCCTCTTACCAGAACCGCCACCGTCAGCCAGACCGTGGCCAGAACCACTGTCACCCGTGGTTGCATCCTTCTGCAATCAAACGGGTGTTTCCTCGTTATTCCACCTTAGTCAAGCTCTTCTGACCTCGATTCTGATTTACGTTACAGTGGAATTCTTAATCTCATAATTCTTTGGTATATCTGAGTTCATCACATTTTTTTTTAACTTTTAGTTAAAATTCTTTGACATAAAATTGTAATAGTATATAAAAAACAAAAAAGCAAATAAAAAGCTAATAACACCAAAGCACTATTTTATATAACTATGGTATAGTTATCTACAATAAAAACTGAAGGAGGTACTGATATTTTCACGTGATACATATAAAGTCTTTCTTTTAATATATGTATGCGAATTATCTTTTAAGAAACAGATTTTTTTCGTAAAGTAAGCTGCAATTGAAGACGAATTTCAAAGACTTACCTATATATCATTCAAACGCAAGCATGCAAACCAATGCGCTCCAAGCAGTACCACTCTCAGAATATACCGCGAAGAATAACGTATTCACTATAACAACCATCTAACACGCGAATCTTCTTATTCCCAAAAGGGAAAGCTAGCTCAGCTCTCCCTGACTTTGAATCTCAGACAATCATCTCTCTCGTCACTTCATCCGCGAGCTACTCCGGCATCTTTCAAAGGACGTCGCTTTATCAAGAAAGATGAAAGCAGGCGCAAGACAGCCTGTCTACCGTGCAATTCTCGAACTACTCTTGAACTAGCTCTCTTGTCTCTTTGATTTTCGCTCCAGCTCTTCCTACACACGAATCTGCCGCTACTTTGCGAGCGACACTTGGAGCACACCTTTCTCAGCGAAGCGAGAAAACAAGAAGAACGGGGAGATAGAGAAAGATCGATATCAACAGCGAATCGAGTGATCTTGACACACTGCCCGCATCAGGCCGAAGTGGCTAAACTTAATACCGTGGCGAAGGAGAAGGCGAGGAAGGCCGCTCGCTAGAATCAACTCTCGCGTGTGCATGACGCGCCAATTGACTTCCGCCAACTGACGTCACGTTTCTCTTTGTTTCTCTTTTCCTCTCTTTCTCTTTTCGTAGACCTGTCGACTGAGTTGACCAAAGAATCACTGGTAATTTCGACCAAATTCAACTGGCGATTTTCTTCATTTCTCGACACGCGAAATATCATGCGATGCTGAAGTATCGCGGGATTTTAAGATATTTGGAGAAGATATGTGTATTCATCGTTTATGATTTTTGATGATATAAATAACGTAATATACGGAAAATACAAACATAAAATAAATCAGTCAGATTAGGACAAGGATTTATTTAAATTTTGGACATATATATTATATATTATGTATTGTATGTACTAATAATTATAATTACTGTATATGATGTGTGTATATATATA